GCGGTGAAAGTATCAAATCGTAATGACCGTCATTAAGCCATAAAAATATAACTTTTGAATTTACTTGACAAATAGTATCGGTGTTGTTCATACGCGAATCATATACTATATTATCATTATTGTTTTGGAAAATGCAACTAAATCAATATTTTGTGCTCTTAAAAAACCCCGTAAACATTGGACAATTGATCAATGCGAACACCGCCTCGATTTAAACCACTTTGTTCGTAAACGTTTGTAATTTCGTCATCTGTTCTGTATAAAGCCGTTCAAGTGATGTATTATGATTCAAATTAAGTTTATCGTAGCGTTTGTCTTTATTAAGAAAAGAGAAACCCGTAAATATTGCAAGAGCAAAATAAAATAACAATCGGATTTTGAAATAATTTGAAAAACACTGTTTCGAATTTCACGTCCATGTTTTTGCGACACACAATTTTTTCTACCTCGACCCACATCTGAACCGTTTTTTTCCGACATCTTTGTAAAGACCGCTTTTTTTCTCTTTTTTTGTCCGCGGTGCTTTTGGCACATAATTATTTGGAAATATATACAAACTAATTGTGTCGTATTCCACCCATCATCAATTACTTCTTGTGCATTGCTTTGCATATGTTTTTCAAAAATATCAAAAAACATATCGACATTAAAATCCGAAACATTTAAAACTGCAGTTGAAAACGCTGTACGCGGAGCATTAGAGATATAAAAATGTGCTTTATCCGTTGGCGAACTAGCTATATAATTTGCAGTATTAATTAAATAATTAAATATTTCGCGAAGGCTATCATAAAATTCTGGAAGTGTTGTTACATGGCCAGCGCCTATTCTAACATTATAAACATATTCGTTGTATCCCAAACGACGATGCGTTTGTATTCGATTGACACGAAACGCGTTTCGGGGTATGTGAACATTTTTCCTATTCTGTTCGACAATACACGCTATTTCATGAATATCTCTATCTTCCACATTGTAATTTCTTTTTTCCCTCGATTGTTTGTCCTAATTCTTTGTAAGTTATTTTCGTGAGCCATTTGGGCGATATCAGCAATACGTTTTGGCATAATTTGAATACGTGTTTTATTGGTGTTGTTAGCTCTTACCATATTTATGATTTCCTGTAAATCTTCATTGTTTAACTTTCAGTATTTTCGTTCTCCATCACCACCGTCGGTATCGCGTTTTCTTTTCGACGCCATTGTATACAACAACAACTTCTATACTCGTCGTCGTCAATATTTTCGCCGTCTATTTTGTCTATACCGCCTTCGCCCATGGTCACATCATTACTCCTGTTTATAAACACACAACGTACTCTAATAAGGGGTTTATCACCACCCGAAAACAATTTAGCCATAACCATACCCATTTCAACTTGCTTACAAGGCACAGCATAAAAATGAACAGTGATGCTTTAACGCACATTACTATATATCTTGAAAATAATCATAGTGAAAATGACAAAGATAAATACATACCGTCATATGAAGTTTCAGAAAATAACTCGGACCAAATGATTTTTTCACAACATATTTTTCCAGAAGCATTTGTACATTGGTGCAAGGATGGCGGGCATATAGTTTACGTGTCACCGTTGGATATACGTACTCGCTTGGCATCACTTAAGCAATCACAAGGTATTACACCATACGTGGAATCTAAAATAAACAGAATCGTTGATCATATTGAAAACAACATCGAGAGATATATTGGCGTGGTAATTGTCTTTTGAAATGTCGAAAAAACAAAAATTTATTTAAAATTTTTTAAACAAAATCTACGAAAAACCGCGAATCAAAAAAATAATCAAAGTATTCGAAAATCCTAGCAATGTGTTGCTAATACTCTAAAGGATAAACAGTGTCGTAAACGTACAGCGCATACTCCAAAATGTTGGATCCATCTTGCCAAACAGAATAATTTACGTATATTAAACCCTCAAAAATTATTGCTGCAGGAAAAGGACTATACACATGGAAGAAAACAATTCCAAAGGGTAAGACAATCGGTAAATACACAGGAAGACAAATAACAAAAAAACAATTGGATCAATGTTACGGAAATAACGTCACGGCAAAATATGCAATTTGCAACCGCCGAGGACAATGTACGGACTCAAACTATACCACGGACGGCGCACAATTGACAGTTGAAATAGTACCAAACTCCAAGCTGAAATGTGCAACTTTATCGTGTATATTTTTGTCAATTTTGTTCACTGGCCTTTGTTAAATTCACTTGCAATGGCTCGACATAAGTTACAACATACAGACTGAGCAGAGCCCATGAAAAAGCTATCCATATCCCTACAGTCATGCAACTTCCTTGCTATTTAGAAGTGGTTGCCCATCAGTTGAAGAAGAATTGCTATTGTATGCGCTTGTTTGCACTTCCTTTCCTGAAAAAGGCTACAATATTAAGGCTAAATAGCAGAGAAATATGAGCCAATAATCCATGCAATTAAAAATATGTTGTAACTTACGTCGAGCCATTGCAAGTGAATTTAACAAAGGCCAGTGAACAAAATTGACAAAAATATACATGATAAAGTTGCACATTTCAGCTTGGAGTTTGGTACTATTTCAACTGTCAATTCGACCTCGAACTTTGAAAGGTTCAAAACCTATCTGTCTCATGTTTGCTTACTCTATAATTTTGTCTATGCAAAGGTTTTCATCATAACTTAATAACAAACTATAATTTAGGTTTTGGAAATCATTGGTTTTTTATCAGGAAGCAGTGCGTGCTAACACTCTGTTACAACATTTCAACGGCCATTTTTAACCACCAAATTAAACTGAGTATAGAAATAAAATAACACCCGAAATAAAGTTTTTCGTTACTTAAATCTTATCTTTAAGTTTCTTATAATAGCTAAAAGTAACAAAAACATATAAATTTTACACAAGTAATATTTTATGAAGCAATAGTTTCAGCATACCTTCTGATGGGTCATATACGCATAGCCATATTTGTTTACAATTAGAACGTCTTACCCCCCGAGAAGCCCGCATTGGGGGACGCTCGATGTATTGCCATTTCTACGCCCTCTCTCCCTTCGCCCTGGGTTAACTAGACACATATATAGGAAGATAGGCTAGTTAACCTATTCAGAGCCAGCGTTCTCCCCTTGACAAGTAAAATTGTCTGGAGTTAGACAGAGTAAAATAGTCTGGCATTGGACAAAGTAAAACAGTCTGGTGTTAGACAGAGTAAAATAATAAAGTAGGATGCATCATATGGCATTGCATCAAGGTAGAATGATTAATTTGGCACAATAGGTGAAAACTATAATTGATTTGTAATGTTTATGCACCTATCAATGTTAACCCTGAGGGGGGGGGGGTCGGGCAAAGGGTGGGGATTTGATCAATCAGTTTGTCCCGTGGGTCAGGATTTTGACTGGCACTTTTTTCTGAGTGGCCCGAGGGTGGGTATTTTTGACAGATTAACACTGATCTCAAACGAAATACTGAAGAGCCGATTTTTGAACAAACTGAAGACTGGGCACTAGTTCATCGCTGGCCGTCTCGCACAGCGTTTCCATATTGAAGGACATTTCATTTTCAAAGGAAGTTCTGGCTTTATGAAGGTGATGTGAAGGAAATTTTGGAAAAATAGAAAATTTGAAAGATTTTTCAAAATTTGTTGAAAAAATCAAATAAGAACATGTTTTTAACCACTTTTTCTGCCATAATTTTGTGAAAATTTACATAAAAATGGAACAAATTCTTAATAAAGGAAATTTTAATATTTTTGAAACAGCTGGGAAATTTGTTGTCGCTGTGCAGAGAAATTGCTGGCGCACGCGATATTTTACAAAAATTCGAAAATATGAAAAAAACAACACGAGTGAAATTTTTAAGATGGCGATCAAGGAAATTAAATTGTTGGAAAAATTTCACCAACATCTCAAGTATGGAAAGCATCTACATTACCAGAAATTTAATTGTGGATTGATTCAAAATTCAGGCGATAAAGTTGCATAGCTAGGAGTTGGCTTTTGTGCTCTTCGAATATCAGTTTTCATTTGCGGATTACCATAACTTGTTGGCCTCATGGGTGCCAAAATCGACATAAACGTAAACTGCTAACCAAGAGCTATAAAACAAATGGTTTTTCAAAAAGATAAACTTTATTCAGTCAAAAGGATGAGGGTAAATAAACATGCTACTGCGTGATAGTGATTTCGAAGCAACTTTGTCACATATATTTTAAAAAAAAGTGATAATGAATCAAATTTTGCTTTTTGCAATCCCAAAAAGGTATGAAAATTATTTAAATATTTAAGGTTTCCGTGTTTCTAAAGTATTTTTTTGAGAAAAGTAAAAATTTTCCAGTTAAAAAAGCATAGTTTCTGCAGAAAACTGTTTTCTGATAGAGAAGGTCCTGGGGGAGGGGGTGTAGAAGCGTGCGCAGATAGCAAAAAACCTTGACGTTTCCTCAAAAAAATTAATACCAAATTTTGTTTTGCCTTTGTTTGATATGTAATTTAAACAAGTTTTTTTACATCTAAAAATTGCCCCTAGTGGTCAAAACTTGGATTATGTTCGCAGTATTGGCCATTTGTTTACTTTTGGGGATCAAAGTTTGAGGTCCAATTATTTTTAAAGTTTACAAACTACCCAGCTAATTCTTGGCTGTTGTTTGCAGCCTTGTATGCTGATTAAAATTTAGTTTAGTCCACAATAGTAGATCCTTTCAATGAAGGGAAATTCAAAATAGTATATTTGATTACTTTTACAGCACAGTCATTACATAGGTGGGTGCAATAGCAGGCCAAATTGAGAAAAAAAATTACCGATTCCTCCAAATTTAAAATCAAATTTTTGGAAACATAATTTAACAATGAATTTTGTTGAGAAATTGTTGAAAAATTGCCCCTTTGCGTCTAATTTCGCTTTGAAATGCGTGCATTTACTGCTCTTGTATGAAGCAAGAGTTCGAAAACATTCCGAAGTACTGTAAAATGTAATGAAATTGACAACTTGACCTTGCCCTTGAGACCTTGTACTGCCTCAGCACTGAAATGTTTTTTGACAATGATAATTTACCAGTGTTTCTTGAATATTTTCCTTGTTTAACTAGTAGAACCGAACGTACAAGTGCATCAGAAGACTAAGCAAGAGTTTTGTGTAGAAATGCTCTGCTTACGGGAAGTTATTTTGCATTCGCAAGCGTCAACAAAACTGTGGCATCAAGTTCTTAGGTACATTAATGCCTGGGTCTCAGTTTGTGTATTTAGCGAAAATAAACAAAAAATCATAAAAAAATAAATATGGCCTTGATTATTACCATTCCAGTTTTATATGATTTATCAAAGGAGATTCTAAAAGTTGACCTACTTTTCGTTGTCATGGCAACGATCACGTGATGTATATTTCGAAAAACAACACAAAAAATGATACTTTTTATTCAGAGGCTCTGCAGCAGTATATTTCGTGACTGAGAGGACGCAGAATTGCGATAATCATTCACACATAATATCACTGTTTATTGAATAAACTCGGAAAGTTTACATTTAGGCTTCGTTTCATTAGTTAATGCGGCTATATTACGATGATCGGCATCAAACGAATGTTAATCCCGTCATTAAATGTTATCTACAAATAAATGTACGGTTTCCAAATTAACGCAGGAAACTTTGTTCCCTTGTTAATGTTTTTAGCTAACAAAAATAGCAAAATTTCGTCAAATTACCCTGCTGCAAGTCGAACGCGTTTTTCGCGTGATGAATTTCACGCGCCATAATGAAACAGTCTGCCGCTTATTGTAAGGGATATTATATTTCCAATAACAACATTCATTGCGCATTCAAGCCGACTCTTGAAGCATAGTTAATGCTTGAATGGAAGTATGCCATGGTGGAAAAGACCGAGTGAACTATATGTGCTATTAATTTGTAATTCACAAGCAATTTTTCATTGAAAATAAGAAACAGTCAACAATTAATACTGAATAATCGCAAGATAGCGCACTATAAGAAGCTTTTATTTATCAGCAGTTCAAAGGTCACCTGTCGCAAATGACACAATACTTATTGCTATACAAAGAGCCAATTATTACATCAAAACTGAATAGTATACCGACATCTTTGCATTGTATATTCCAAAATAATCCTGTCGCTCATATATACTATATTTTGATTTGAAGCAAACGCCCGAATTCACTAAAATACTCACACAAGGGGCGACAGATCTAACAGACGCATTACTGACAGATCGCGCGTGCAACACGCGCGCAAGATATCATCCAAGCGTGGGCAGACCCAGGCATTAACATGCCTGAGTTCACAGTTTGATTATCATAGCGATAGATAAAAGCTTTGAAAATTCAATTGAAAACATTTTAAACCACCCGTATTTGTATAGAATACAACAGTACATTGTTGAAAGTACTCGATTTTTTAGTGGGGGTGTGGGAATTTTTTTTTTACTATAAGATAGTATTACAAAAAGTGTCGATTCAGCAAAAAAAGTGTGGGGATTGAGCTCCACGGACGGGGGGTACTTTTGGGTGTCTCCCCAGTCCCCAGAATGTGGTTCGCTCGGCTGCGTGATTGTGCAACTTCTGTGTGTGAAGAGCGAGAGATGTGACCCCGAAGCCTTGGTCGACCGAAGTGATGATTTTTGAATTTGGCAGTTGTTTTATGGTATCACGTGACACGGCGTGATTGACAGGTGTGACGCACATCCGGTATCGGGTTGCGCGCGTGAGGGATAGTGGGGTGGCGCGCGGGGTATTCAGGGGATATTTGGGGATATCCGGGGGTATTTGGGGTGAAATTCATTTTTAAATGTTTACCCGAAGAGTGTGTGTGCTTAAATGCTGGGTCGCTGGGGAAATGTTCGCAGAAAACACGAAACATGGCTGAAGTCAAGACAAGCCCCGAAGTAGCTGCAAGTAGCTACAAATGTATTTTGACGGTACAAATAATCATGTAACACCCGAACAAATTCGTATAAATGTTAAAAAACGTTAAACACTGTAGAGTATAAAAACGCTATGAAACATTTAATCAATATCGAAGAAAAAAAGAAAAAAAGAGCGAATAAAAAGCGATATAAACAGCGATATAAACAGCGACATAAGATATGTGATGTTTATTTAATTTATACGGGCTGATAACCGGCGGTCACTGGGGAAACGTTCACAGATAATACAAAACATGGCTGAAGTCAAGACAAACCCCGTGACCCGGCGTGATTGACAGGTGTGACGCACATCCGGTGTCGGGTGTGCGATACTCACTGAGATAGTCACGCGGGATAGTATTACGTGGTATTTTTTTAATGTTTATTTACGAGGGTTGATAACCGGTTGTCGCTGGGGAAACGTTTCACAGATAACACAAAACATGGCTGAAGTCAAGACAAACCCCGAAGTAGCTGCCGAACAGAAAGAGAAGGCAAAGACAAACCCTGAAGTAGCTGCCGAACAGAAAAGACTTGAGGAGGCAAAGAGAATTGTTGAAGGGGAAAATAGCGCGTTGGCGTATAATTCAGACGGCGATTGGTTTGACGATGAAGATTTTGATTTGGATTTTTCAAATTCACAAGGTTTCTTTCAAGAAAGCATGGGTCGACGGGCTGAATGAACGAGAAGAAATGCAGTATGGTTTCTTAAAACTGACTGATGAAAAAGGAAAAGAGAAGAATAAAGATCAAGAACAAAAAACACATTAAACATTGAACAAAGTAGTAAATAAACACAATGTGGGTAACCATAGTAAATAAATACACAACACAAAATCGATTTGTAATTTTATTTTGGTTTTAATTACAAATTTTTCCTAGCCCAATCGTTTATTTCTTTTTGTTCTTTCTTGGATTTTCCTTTCATCCATGTATTAAGACCAAAGATATCACCACCACCTTTTTGTTTTCTTCCCATCATTCTATTAGTGTAATATAATGATCCACGGCCACCCTTTTGCTTTTTAAAATCTTTAGAAAAATAATACGCATTAAACAACAATTAAAATATAAATATTCTGCATGGTACAAATTTAGTAAGCTTGATATACAGAATTTTTTGTATAAAGAGAAATTGGTGGTGTATTCTGCTTTTAACTCCCGATATTTTAAAGTTTGTTTGTCTTGTATTGTGTAAAGGGTCGCTGTAATTGGCGGAAGCTGTAGCGTATACCCAGCCATGTCAATGTATGTATCGTTTATGTTAATGTATGTATAGCAAGTGATTTTAAGTTGATTTGGCAAAGCCTAATAAATAAATAAATAAAATAAATAACCAAAGTCACCCTTTTGCTTCCTTGGCTTTTTTCTTCTTTTAACAGAAGCCACACCGGTTTTTCCTAAAACCCACTCCCCAAAACCTCCGCCTCGTTGAATTCCCGAACCCACCACTGTTCGTTTTGTCCACAGTATTGCTTTTGCGTGGGCAACACTGCCACTTCTACCCCCAACACAGCCACACGATTCATCATTATAACTCCTTTTGTAGTCCCAAGAACTGTTCTAATTGACTAAAACGACGATTACAACAAGTAGTAAATAATTGTTGTAATCTTCGTTTGAGTCAAAGAGAACTGTTGCCCGCTAAAAAAGCAGGACGTTTAAAAATTATGATGGCAGTGTGTGTTGAACGCTTGATATGTTGAACGCTTTGCTGTTATGCGCAACCCACCGTGTTTATATAGACAATAAACGGAAGTTGGTTTTTAAAAAAATGTATTGTGTTACATAATATTACAAGCTTATAATATATTTTCCCAATGTTTTTCAAGTTCATTTTGTATTTTGTTTATACGATGTAATTTTTCATTGCATTTTTCAATACCATAGGTGTGAGTGCCACACACGTCGCAGTAATCATAAAATTCTTTGTTTTGGTCTCCAAATACAGGAATGATCTTTACTAACTGCCCGTTTAACCACGCTATAATTGGGGCATCGGTGATGGCGTAATCTTTGGTAGGCAATGAAATTACGGAGATTCCTGCAATATAAAATGAATAACAAAAGTAAAATGATTAATACGCATGCGTATGAAAAAAAGTAACCTGTAATAATTGTGCTGTATAAGTGAAACGTGTATAAATACTGAAATAAAGAGTTAGTACTATGTGTGTGTTAGCCGTACGGGCATCTATTGTGGCGGAATGGCAACGCGTTAGAATGCCAATTCTTAGAAACTTAACTGATAGCCGGTTAGGGAGAAGAGGCTAGTAGTTCTAAGTCAAAGTGAGTTCGATTCTCACCATAAGATGTAAATACTTCTAATACACACTTTTGTTATTAAACCAATTTCACTATCTCATCAGGAAAAACCCATATGAGATAGGCTGATTTTGGATTAATGTTAAAGTCTTGAAGCCATTTCTTCTTCTTTTTCATTCATCGTCTGTGATAATTTTTTTCTAGAGGGAGAGCTAGAGGACGATTTGTTGATAGACAAACACATCGTCCCTACCCCTCCATTTAGAAAAAACTATTTTCCTTCTCTTTTGCCAGATCTGTCAAAGCGAATTTCCAAATAAATTTGCTTTTACCAGATCTGTTAAAAGTGAATTAATTTTTTCTGTTCCAGATCTGTAAAAGAGATTCATAAATAATTTTTCAACAAGTTGATGATTTATTCAAAAAGGATTTGATTCAATCGGCAACCTTGATGAAAAAAATATTTTGTGCATTATTTACCTGTTAACAACAACATAGATAAGTAGCGGTGTAGTCATTTATTCGGGGTTCCAGATGTGTGTTGTGACAAAGTATGTGAATAGCCATTTTGAAGATAGATTTGTCCAACCGGTATCCTTTTGATGCGAAATGTTTATAAATTTGTATTTTTACATCCGCAAATCTGGATTGTTTTAACATGCTTACATATAGATAAAATTCATGTATGAAAGCAATCATTCGTGTTTCATAATGGCATGACGTGTTGTAGAGCCAATAACCCCAGTAAGTTTTGTTCCACTTAAGATGAATATAATGTTGACGTGTGTTTATTTCGTTGTGATGTATAGCATTGAGATAAACTGTAAAATTCCCCGACGGTTTTTCCAATAATCCTACTGTTTTATTATATTTGTATAGCGTGTCATCACATAAGAACCAACCGGCCATTGTGTATGCTAACTACGTCTCTTGTCCTTGAGACGAAGTTAGTACACGTTTAATCGCTGATGTTAAAGCATGTGCGAAAATTTTAAGCGTCTTGAGAGGATAATTTTCGAGGATGGATATGATTATTTACCTCGACCGTGGTGTGGTGAAAACGATAAATTGGTTCAGGAGGATTTGTTACACCATGTTTTAATGTATATCCTACAATTAAAGTTGCATAAAGGTGAATTAATACCCGAGGATATATGGGTAGAGAAAGGTAGAGAAATTATGGAAGAAACAGCGTTTTGGTACGGTACGGATATTGTAGATGATTTGGCTATTTTCTATACGTTTGATAATTTGGTGGATAATGTTAAAGAAGAGGATTATGTAAAACCTGAAAAAATGAAAATGTTATATGTATTATATGTGGATTATATAAAACATGGTGAAGATGATGATGGTCATACCGTTTATAAAAAAATTTTGAATTTGTTGATGAGGAATTAAAGGACTGAGGTGGGTTATTTTTTTATTCATTTGGTGTTGTATACTGTTTGAGAAAGGATGGCTAGAGTTTTTGAGAAAGCTGTAAAAGATTGGTTATTTGATCAATTTGACGATTGTAAAGACGGTTGGAAATTAAAAACACTCATTAAGGCGTTGATTGATCAAAGTGTAATTCCGGATCATATTGCTCGCGATCAAATTTTATACAAGTTATTAATAATGCAAATTAAACGTTGTATAACAGGGTTAGTTGATGTGCCCAGCGAAGGGTATATGATGCCACAAATGATAAGTTGTAGTTCTGCGCTGACATTTTTAAGAATGGAAGTGGAAAATGCGAAAAAAATTGAAGATTTACGACATGAATTGGAATTAACTACAGGCGTGAATATTTATTATTATCATCGTATAAAAAGTGTAGCCGATAAAAGATGTAAAAGGTTGCGTTCACGTTCACAGCCTATTTAAAAAATTGTTCGATTACTGTTTGGTGAGTACATTGTTTTTCGCAGACGTTGTTTCTCGCAAGCCATCTATCGCCACACGCTTGAATAATTTCTTCAGTATCAGGACAGTCACAATCCCAAAATATTTCGCCACTGTCCACATGTTGATATTGCCAGCCATTGTTGTCCGCGAAACCCGTAGCTATGAAATAATTTTTACCTGTTTGTTTAGCTTTTTCTTGTTTTTCTTCCTTCATTTCTTCGGTTTTTGCACACAACGAATGAAATAGTTCCATACGGCACATATCACAATAACGATCCTTGAAGTGGTCTTCATCATCACCTAGATCGCAAACATTGTCTTCAACATGCCGACAATGTTGTTGAGAACATTTCGTTCCATTTTCCAAAGTTGTTTGACACGTAGTATCATTGAAGGGTATAATAGCTGTGGCATGATGAGCAAAAGCCATTTCAAATCTTAAAATTTTTGACTTTACGAGGATTTTTTTTTATAGAAAAATACAAAAATACTATTGCCATATACGGGTATGTTTGTTACAATTACGTTCTATAGTGAGCACTTATATTCAAACGTTTTGGAAATATTTTACCGTTTGTAATACGGTTCAAGTTACAGAGTTTGAGGCATTATTTATAAGTGGAATGAGAGTCGAAGGAGACGATCTAGACTTAAGTAAACAGAAACAAGAATGTGCGACTGGGAAAAGACGAAAGATGTGAAAATAGAGAAACCTTCTTCGTGGACGGGTACAGAAGAAGAACAAAAGGATTTGTATAATAATATAGTCGCGTATTTTTGTTGGTTGTTTATTCGTGAGGATTTGAACGAAGATTGCATTTTGTACACGAAAAGTTTGTATGTGTATGAGAATTGGTGCTCGCGTTTACCAACAGTTTTTATGGAACAATGTCAGACATAAACGAGAGCTATGAAGAGATACTTAAGCGGATGGGTTGCGATATGATTTTTAAACCTGGCGATAGTATGCTTGAGGATGCGACGTTTTACTTTGATTTCGCTAGGGGTAAAAAAACTTATCCATATGACAGTGTTTATAGGTTATTAGATTTTGTACACATATTGTGTGATACATATAAAAAGTGTATGATTATGATAGTGAAGTATAAATGTTGATGTGTATTATAATATTTTTTAATAGCTATGGCTTCGTCACTTAAAAAACATTACCCATGGAAGGCAATGAATGAATGGAGAAATAGAAATGGAGGAATGAAGGAATGGCAATCTGGCGTTTGGGTGGATAACTGCGAGAGCTTCAATTATCTGCATTATTGTGATAATGTAACATTAGAACTAAAGGACGAGCAGAAACTAAAGGATGATCGTGAAAAAAAAAGGAGAATGCGACGTGCAATCCTAACATTTGTCCAGGCTGTGGTCGAGAACATTCAAAACCAAACGATTCTTGTATTATTGTATAAAGACACATATTTTTTTAAATAGTTAATTGAAAACATTGGTTACAACAATATCTACCATAACGCATATTTCTAAAACAATAAAATTGTTCAGTTTTTGGTTTTAATTGTCTGGATTTAAATTTATCTTCACGTGTTTTTATTGCTTCCATATCTGGTGCTTGGAATCCAGAATAGTTTTGATTAGCGGTGGTCAATAGTTTTGTTAATTGCGGAACAACTTCAAAATTGCTTTTTCTTGCGATACTTTCAGAATCAACTTCAATACTTTCACAATTTCTTGCTGGTGGTGTACTTTCACAAGTCATTTCATACGTCTTGGGTAGAATTGGTGCACATCGGGTTTTGTTAATTGCGGAACAACTTCAAAATTGCTTTTTCTTGCGATACTTTCAGAATCAACTTCAATACTTTCACAATTTCTTGCTGGTGGTGTACTTTCACAAGTCATTTCATACGTCTTGGGTAGAATTGGTGCACATCGGGTTTCATGTAGAGTTTGAATTGCATCACGATAGATTTTTGCAGCGTTGTTGCATTTTTCACATTTCGGTGGACAAGGACACAAAAATTTTTCAGGACAATACTTACAAGCCATTTTTTTTTGCTTTGACAGACCCATTAATACCACGTATATTTATAGAGTTTAGATTGCCGTATATATATGTATGAAATATAAATTTTACCCATACATGGTGGTGGTATGCAAAAAAAAATATTTGCATATTTATACATATATGTTGTGTATTGTGCTATAGATTTTTATTGCTTGCAAAATGCTTAACTATATGCCCACTTCATGGTATAACAGAAATCAGGATCTTTCTGTTTATGCGCAAAGATTATGGTGGTGTTATCATACAGATTCTAGCGATGTGGTTGATGTAACACAAAAATTAGCAATTAACGGTATATTTTCTCTTACGGCGAATGTTGAACCATGTAATGTAAAAAATGGGGAATGGGATGATGTTAATTATGTTACTGTTACAATGAGTTTGTAAATGCCAATCTGTTTTGCAAGTTCATGATGATTGAATAGTTAAGTATTATCCTACAAAATGCACGGGTATAGATATATTTAACATTTGGCATCTGTCACGCGACGGAATTCATTGGGGTGCTATTCAGGACGACACTGATTGGAGCGGCTGTGATCACATTCAGCGTGAGAAGTTGTGGTGTTTTAAGAACGGAACGTATTATGGATGATTGTCATGTCAAGATTAACGTGTCATTGCCCTGCGGTTGTAAAAATTGGGACGGTTTTTCGGATATTGTATGTGAAAGTATTACGTGTGTCTGCGAGAATGCAGTTGTTATGACATCTTACCCACCTTGTTATGTTTGTGTAGATTCGCGTTGCGTATTTAACATTGATGCGGATAATAAATATTTTAAAGAATATACGTGTATTATGAGCGATTGTCAACAGTACTTGAGCGTATACATGAATAGGAAGTTAACGTGCACGTGCGGCATGGCACTAAAAGCAAGTGTGGAACATGTTATTGCAAGTTGTCACGATGTTCATCTGGATAATGAACTACAGTTATTTTTTATATGTCGAGGCGGTGTTTGCGACTATAAACGTTCTATGCCCCAGTTAAAAGATTTACTGTCAAGAATTCGCTGTATTTGTAATAAACCCTGTGAACACGACGGTGAAATATATAAATGTTCTCGAGGTGCAGGCGGTTGCGGTACATACTTTCATGAACTGGATTCACTAACTTACATGCATACAGTAATGATTGAAGACGAACTAGAGGATTGTGTGTGGGCATGTTTACCCATAAACATTAAACGATTGAAATGCGGACAATATGGAATTTTAAAATATGAACACAATAGATTAAAGTTAATATGTAAAGATTTATTTTGTGATTGTAGTACAGAAGCTGTTATAGCACCAGATTTTACAATAGATGAATAAAATATTATAGCAAAGCCCACCAGAAGCCACCATTTTGTACCTTTTTTCTACCTAGAAATAGAAATAAAAAATAGTTCCTTAAGCTTGACCACGTTCACCAGAATTTTTTCTTACTTTTTTTTACCACCTATAAAAATAAATATACAGGTAAATATATTTATATAGGGTAAATCAAAAAATAGATTAATAGATTCAATTACCTTTTTGTTTTTTATAGTATCGAGCAATATTCATTTTCATGTGTTTTTGTGCTAATTCTTGTTCGCCAGCAACAATACCACCTCTTTGATAATGATAACCGTCATAATCGTCGTAATCATCATAATAGTGTCTTTGTCGTCTTTTTCTTCCCCTTATGTGATTACTATTACTGTTAACGCTATTATTTTTTACAATTATTGGCTGTGGTGCCGGTGCAGATTTGCTTCCGCCGCCACCACCCCCCCATTCCCAATAATTTCATTATAAATCCACCCGTTTTTTTTTTTGTTGTTGACCATGTTGATGTCGCCGCCCTTTAAAAGTACCCCCTTTTTGTTTGGCCATCTTGAATGAGAATGAGCGTACTATTTTTACATGACACCCTTTATACACCCGATCGTATGTGTATAATTGAAAGTGTGGAGTTGGTGGGTCCGTTTGGCGTAATTGTGCAAGTTAATTATAACGCAAGATATGATGTTTACACACACGGTGATATCAACTATATAACTGTGCGCCCGTATCATATGGAAGTGTGTCTGATAATGGTGGATATCTTTACAGCGATACATTCTGGGGCATATTTTGATACTGCAAAGCTACAATTGGAATTGGGTAAAAAAGGATTATTTTGTGATTTGGCGTGTCTTGAACATTTACAGTGATGGCGAAGGATACACACGGAATGCTAGTATACAATTCGGGGTTTTGTGCTTTTTATGGGGACACATTAAATACAGCTAATAAACAATGAAAGATATAATGAATCTCCGCACAGAGGTATTTACATGGCAAAGCCCGTCGACTTATATGTGCACAATAAGTGACCTTCATTTCTAGCATTTAAAATTCTAAAAAATTACCTGAATGGTTCACAACTCACTTTAAGTCTCTTACGTGCGGGTCAAAAAGTTTGCCTGGCAAAGCTAGTTTAAGACGTTGGGGTCACGAACACTTTGTGATCGACAAAGTTCTCATCACCGATCCTGTCACATACAAACTAAAGGATAGCAACGGCGAGGAGATTACGGGTATATTGTATCGTGAAGAATTGCAACCAATATGAATGTACAAATTTACAGTAATACAAAAAACCAAGAAGGTGATGTAAATTACAATAATAAATTTACAATGACATTACCCGAACAAATTGACGGTGAAAATAAAAAACGATTTATACGTGCTTTAAACGTCTCCTATCCTTTAATGATTGATAATGTGGATGATAAAATGTGTGGTATCCGGTTTTCATACAAAATTTTCTGGAATCCTGTACTATATCTGGCATTAGCAGCAAAAGATTATGTTAAATTTGAAACAGAATGGATGTATTTACCCAGAGGATACTATACAATTAAAAAAATGATTAAAGAATTAAATCGATTTGTACAAGAATATGGTATGAATTTTGTATTATTACCCGGTGGACGTGTGGGTCTATCGTTGGGTATTATGCCATCTTACTTTTATAGTTATAACACTGCCGACGGTCTTACGAAAAATACATATACTGTAAGATCACCTGATGATTTCTCTTTCGAAATGACCAAAGATTTAAAGTATATGCTGGAGTTAGACCAGTATGTACTACATCCTGATGTTGAAAACATATTCAAGGATGGTACCACCGTGTGGACCAACCCCACACCACCAACTCAAATGCAAACAATTTTAACAACCGTTTTAACAGCTAAAGTAATGGGTGATCCCATAAATAAACTGTGGTATTTTATTTATGGTAAATATGCACCCGATATGACCAATGGAAAAACATGCATGTTTATTTATTGTGATGAAGTTGTACCCTCTGTTGTGGGTGATGTTCGTGGACCGTTATTAGCGCAATTACAAATTAAGCGCCAAGATGATGATAATATGATTGAAGCGATGCACACCCACGATTTACCATCGGTCACACATGAATTAATTAATACACAAATAAAAAATTTACATATAAGAATATGCGATATGGAAAATAAATTAATACAGTTTAACGGTGGCAGCGTTGGCATCGAGTGTATAATTGAATAATGAGTACATTACGCATTAGATTAGAAATTGTGAATTGCGTGGCCGTTCCTGTGATTTATGAGTTATCGAATAATGTTATAAACACATTCAATGATGTGTATTATAATCTTGCATGTAAAAGATTAACTTTTGGAACTTTTGATCAATGTAGTGTGTGGTGTGCACGAAAATTAAATTTTACCGGAATGGCAAATAACGAAACAAAAAATGTGCTTGGACGGTGGACAAAAGGAACAATTACCAATGTAAAAGGAAATATTATTGCTATGGATAATACTGCTATTCAAGGTATAACATGGTGTGATCGTTTGTTAATACAAATATATGGTAATGGTGATACAAACACCGACAATGTAAACAATACTCGACAAAAACTACCCGCGTATCTACTCGTCAATGATTTGACACAGCTGAAAGAGAACGTTCAGTTCTATTTTTTGTGGGGAGATAATACTGATGCTCATACCAAAGTAATTAACACGTGGTGGAAAATACGACATTTGGATTTATATTTCAATCTTTTTTATAAAGACGTAGAAGAAGAAGAAGAAGTATAAGAGTATATAATAGAGAGAAAATAAATTAATATAATTTAATTGGTGATTGAATAATGAGTACATTACGCATTCGAATAACAGTTCAGAATTGTGTGCCCGTTGCTACGAGTTATGAAATAGCGGGTAATAATGATGATGAAAACACAAATGATGTGTATTATAATCTTGCATGTAAAAGATCAGATTTTGGCTCTTTTGATCAATGTAGTGTGTGGTGTGCACAGAAATTAAATTTTACCGGAATGGCAAATAACGAAACAAAAAATGTGGTTGGATGGTGGACAACAGGAACAATTACCAATTACAAAGGAAATGTTATTGCTATGGATAATACTGCTATTCAGGGTATAACATGGTATGATCATTTGTTAATACAACTATATGGTAATGGTACCGATAATACCAATAATCTAAACGCCACTCGACAAAAACTACCCCAGTATCTACTCGTCAATGATTTGGCACAGTTGAAAGAAAACGTTCAGTTCTATTTATTGTGGGAAGATAATATGGATAAGCATACCAAATCATTAAACACTAAATATTTAGATTTATATTTCAATCTTTTTGATAAACCATAACTTTATAAACCAGACCCGACAAGAAAACTACTCCAGTACTTGTTAACGGTTTGGTAAAGATGGATGAAAAACAATATTATAAATTGTTACACAGCGGCGGTCAAAAACATCCGGGTACAAATTTATTTTATATTCCCAAAGCAGCAAAAAGTATTGAAGAACGAACGTTCGCAAGATCGTATTTGTCCCCCCCCCCCCACAACTAAACCCTGATTATTCACCAAATCCAAAAGTACGGCGATCTGGAAAATTACCCGCATCACGAGGGGCACCTCCAAGCATTGATCCAAGTATTTTACGACACATTTTTGGGAAATAAATAGACATGTTTGTACAAATAATTCATTACTTCTAATTTGACTAACATTGTGTAAAGACATGGGCTGTAGAAAAAAAAACCCAGAGAGGTGGAAATTTTAAGGGGGCGAAACATCAACGAGGAAAAACACAAAAAGTTGGTGGAGCGGGTTTAGCTATACCTACTATTTTGGGTGCAGCAACAAAAATATTACCAGATATTTTTGGTAAAAAAGCAAAAAGTCAAGTGACAAATAATTATGGAGGAGGAGGAGGACAACAGCGAGCACCACCACCCCCACCACCACAATATTATTATCGTTCACCACCACCTCGATATTATCAACCCCAGCAATCCTATCGTCCACAACAACAACGTCGACAATATTACCCACAACCAACACAAACAAAACAAAGAGGAGGACGTGTATTTCCAAAAAGACGAACAAAAAAATGGTATCACTAAAAAATGTAAAACTTAATAAATTATAAATTTGTATCATTTGTGTTTTTATTCTTCATTCACGTTGCAAGTCTCACAGAGCAAACACACGAGATGAAGTGTACACACGATGCAGTCGATGATGAACCCGTTGAAGTTCACGATAGCGGGTTTATGTCACCTATGGCGATATTTCCCACATTTCCACATAATGACACATTTGTGGATAGTCTTAAAATGAAATTAATTGCAGGACCTATTGCAAATCCTGATGCTGAAGAATATACATTTATTCACGCACCAAATGATTATGGTGTCATGGATCTTCAATATGCTAAAATTAAAGCGACCATTGCATTAACAGATGCTGCTAATGCTAACCTGGGTTAATGATCAAATTGTCACGTTAGGTCAATCACCACTTAGAATGGGGTGGAAATCAAGAGAAATATTATTAAATAATCAACGCATTAATTCATTGTCATCACAAGAAATTGAAATTGCCTTTCTTGATCATTTAACACGCGAAATACCCAGTGCGTTTTAACCCAAAGAAAAAATAACGGGATTTATTTTTCACCCTGCTCGGTTTCCTTTGTTCTTGTCGGGGAATATATTCAATATTCCCCCCTAATCAATTTCCGTTTAATAATCCCCTCTAATATTCACCTGCAATTATTAATAATCCCCTCTAATATTCACCTGCAATGTCTTTGCAGCACAAAAAATGAGAAAAAACAACATCGTGAAGGCAAATATGGCATTAAGAATTATTTCTTTTCTGACTCATTAACGCGACCTCGCTGTGTGAAAAATAAGTACGTTATTTTGAGGCACCTCGGGGATAATGTGTTTATTCACCTCGGCGCTGCGCGCCTCGGTGAATAAATCACATATCCCCTTGTTGCCTCAAAATAACCTATACGTATTCACAACACCCCTGGTCAAAGCGATAGTATATGGGGCATACTTTAAATCCGAATCGAATGATTTTTCCCGATTTGGAATTTATAGGCATTAAAATTAACCCAGAATTGAAAATTCTCGTGAAGCATATATTAATTTACGCTGTGTTTTGAATCGTACCCATGATGAAATGCCATTTAATTATGATGATTATTTAACAGATTATGGTTTAATTGCCTTTGATTTAACTGAAAACAAAGACAGTTACAATCAAATATTACCCAATAATACCAGTGGTGTCACAATAGTCAATTGATTGTTATTGGCGAGTTTAGAAATCAATTATCTTGCGCCTATCAAACAGAAGCACGTTTAAAATCCGCGTATTAAATGATCAAACTCTCATACAGACAATGCCTGTTAAACAGAAAAGGTTGAACAAAAAGATACTGTGAAACTGCTTACATATACCCGGTGCAATACGTAATCACGTTATTGACTGGGGTGGTATTACAGTACGCACAATTCACATGAAACCTGTAATATCAAAATATGGCTGAATTAATCAACGGACAGGAACAAATACTTTATGAAGATGATGAAGAAATTATTCCCGAAAAAACAAATGATGATGACGAGGACAAAAATCTTGTCAATGATGTTGCTGATGATGATGATAACCATAGTGACCATAGTAGTGAATGCTCGTACAGTGATTATGAGGGCGATATAGATGAGGGAAAACATCAAGAAGAAGAAATAAATAATGAAACATGTGCTTTATTTTTAAAACAAATTTGGGATGCACAACGAAATTGCGTTCAAAAACGAAAACAAGATCGATTTTTACTGTTAACCAAAAAATTCGTAAATGCTAGTTTTATTAAAAAAGAAAAAATGCTCAACGAAAACCCACAACTGATTAAACATATGGTTTTTTTATGTCGTAATATAGCAAACGGTAAAATACCCACAGATATATCAGGCATTGATAAAGGATTATTTACATACATTTCGGATAGAACTACAGCTCGAGAGGATGTGCATTTACACTTACTTGAGCAATTTGCTGTTCAATATTATTGTAGACAAGCTATTAGAAATATCGAAGCTATTCGAAATATTTACGCCGATTGCAATGGGGGACGATGTGAAACGCCTAATGCTGATAGACGCGGAGAAATACAATACGATGATGAAAACCCTGAAAAAACTCGTGGAAGACAAAAAAATTCTAGGCGAAGCAAAACAAACAGCAGCCGAAGGGGAATTAATTGAAAGTCATGCAAACATGGTCACCAGCATACAACGTAAATCACCTTATGCCACCAATGACATTATTAATTATTCTAAGAAAAAACAGACTTATTTAAAAGAGCAAAAAGAAGCAGCCGCTCCGCCACCACCACCACAACCTGCAGCGGGAAGTGGTCCAGCGCATAAACCCGGATCACTGGCAAGTTCAGAAAGCTTAATACGTGCACATCTTAAAAAAAAAGGTGTTGTTGAAACAGACAAAGGTGTAAAATTTGTATCTAAAACACTAAACATTGCTTTCGACGATATGATAGCAGATCTTACAAAAAATGTGAAAAAAACAAATACGAATTTAACAACAGCACAACACGATAGATTATTAAAAGAATTAAAAAAAAACAAGTATGCCCGTTGCTTATATACATAGCGAGGCTCTTCGAAATCAGTATAGAGAAATGAACGGTGGAACAACACCTCAAGCAACAACATCTCATGCGTCTACACCACCGCCACCTTACTCAACAACAAATACGCCATTTGTACCACGACCATTTTCCCAAAGTAGGAAGGGTAAACCACGCACCTTTATGTATGACGTATGATGGGTGAACTAACATGTTTTCTTAGTAAGTTCTTGGATACCGACAATCTGGACCAACAAGCAAGAAATGATGCAGATATTTTACCATACTATTCGGGATGTTATCCCGCCGATGTAACACCTAAAGGTACCGGCGCTGACAGATGTTGCTGGATTTGGAATGTGGATAAAAAAGATAAACCAGGAACGCATTGGGTTGCAGTTGTGAAAGAGAAAAATATAATTTATTTTTTGATAGTTATGGTAAAACATCGCACTTTTTTAAACGCCATTATTGGGAACAATATTTTGAAAAATTAAATTGTAAAATGCAATTATATAATACGAATCATCTTCAATCACATATTAGTAAAACTTGCAGAAGTTGGTGTAAAATATTTACGACTAAAATTGAGGATTTAATGCAAAATGAACAGGTCTTGCAACAAACATGTTATTCATTATTTACCACTTTAAAAAAATTATACGAACGTAAATGTAGTAATAGTAAAGGCCAAATATGTAAATCGTATATGGAAGCATATCAAATACAAAGTTAAAGAAAAAATTTTATTTTATTTATTTATAAATCGTATATAACAGTTTCATCTTTAGGGAAAATTCCCGTTCTTACATGTGTATTTGCATAGCCCTTTGGACACCCATCAAATACAATATATCTGTATTGTTTTTTACCAATATCTTCAAGAACTTTGTGTAATTTACTCTGACATATTTTTTTGTTTGCAGCAACCATTTCTACATCTCTAAAATCGGTTAGACTTTTACACATAACGTGATAATGACTATTCACACGCCAATTTCGTAATTTTCCTGAACCAAAATTTAAATTTTGACATACGAAAATCACAGAGGTATTTGAATGATGGCTGTCACGTGACGCAATATTATTTAAATTTAAAAGATTTGTAGAATTTGTTGTTGCTACCAACCATCAAATCATCCAAAACTAATAGCGTGTTTTTACCCAATTTTCCTTTAATCGTTTCCATTGACGGTATGCCCTTATTACAATCAATAAATTCAAACGTCTTAAGTGTTGAGGTCTGTTTGTTGTCACGAATGTATTGTTTGATACCGTCATATTTGTCCATAGTGTAAAGATATAGCAGTTTGTCGATTGTTGGATGTATTAGAGTTTCGTGGTTCCTTATTATCTTTTCAATAAAATATGACTTTCCACTTTGAGAAGGCCCACACAACGTCATCATAAACGGATGTTGAAACGGTATCGTGCAACATTTCAAATCGCGCCCCTATAAAAACAATTTTTTATGAATCAATATAACCGTACGGAATAGTTGTAAAATCATTACGGATAATGCGTTTATCAAATGTAAATCGAAATATTTTTTCAACTTTTTGAACATTGATTGTTTGATTATTCGACCGCGTAAATTCTGTATAACTTGTACTAATTTCTTTTTTTCGATCGCGTACACATTGACTAATGCTATTTTTAGTATCCCCTTTCAACGAAAACCCCTTCACATCTACAATCTCATCACGTGTTTTTTTTTACGTGTTCCATCTTCGTGTGTATAAATATATTCATTGGTACGATACGAGTATACTTTAGGACCAGTGGCACAAAATATTTCAATCCATTTTTCACTAGCATTTTTATCGGCTAATTCGTTGGTTAATTGACACTACCCTTTGTAAAACATGCCCTTTCTCGACACCCTCGATATATATCACCGAATCGGTATCATAATATAGCATGCTGTCATCTAATTTATGTAAAACTTTAAATAATTCTAAACGTGCATAAGCCGTCACAAAAGATGCTATAACGACATTTCTATTGGGCAGGGTTACCAACGATGCAATTTTTCGATGTGTTGTCCTCGCGATATTGTCGCTTATAAAATGTAGTGATGTTACTTCAATACTATTATCATTCACTAATTCTAATAAATCATCAAAACGATCCAAAAACGACACCACGGTTGTATCTTCATTTTGTGCCAATTTACCCCACAACGAATTTAATAAAGCCTTCATTACAGTTCTTTGACCGGGGTTATATGAAATTTTATCCGCATCTAATTTCACCCCCTCGTGCTTGAAGTATTCCGCAACGTATTCATTTAACTTTTCATTATTTACTTTACCCTCTGCATCATGACAATTCTTGGGTACCCCACTACTTTCTTGTTTTAATTTCACAAAGGTATTGACATACGTGTGAAAAAATTTTTCACGGTGTGCATAATTGTATATTTCATAAACTTCCCTTACAATATACCCATGTTTTATAGCCATTTGTATTTCAATACTGGTCCATGTGCCATATAAAACAAGTTCCTCCTCTTCTTCGTGTAAATGTATTACATAACGTATCAGCACATGTACGACACGACGGAAATGTTAACTTTGTTGTACGGTAGGGGATAACAGGAAATAAAAGATTTCTAGGCGGTAATATTTTACATTTAATCAACCCAAATATACCCTCTAAATTAAATTTTGCACACTTCTCAACACCATGTATAATATCAGGATGTCTTGTGGGATATTCATAATTTTTTTGAACAAAGGGGTATAAAGAACGTATTTTTTGATGCTCCGCTACACAATACATAACTGCCGGTGAAACTCGACCCCCAAATAAAGCATCGCGTGGGTTAAGATTAGTATTGATAAAAAAATCTCTTTGTCTTAATATTTTAAGTGTATTACGAGTTAATTTATTCTCATTTACAAAATCACACTCCCACATTTCGACAATATTGTACCTGTTACTTTTAAATTCCTCCATAATACATCTTGTACGCTCACGCAATGTATAAAACGATTCACTAAGAACCATATTAAACTTGTCACTATCATAACAAGTTTTACAACCGTGAAAAAAACATCCATGAAATTGATAGATTGTATTCGTTTCCGAACAATATCCGTCCACATAACGTCCCATAATCTTACTTTCGGCATTAGGGGATAACTTACTATACAATGTAACCCCATCATTTTCAAGCTCTCTTACCCAATATAAAGCAACGGTACTCTGATTGACATTCCCCCCGTAACCCTGTGCGGGTATTTGCCCAATAGTGTCTTCATTCAAAAAATTAGTACGATATACTTTCAACTCTAAACCCGCTATTGTGTGACAGGTCTTATCGTAAAATGGAAATACATTCGGGTTTTTTTTTATTAGTAGTGCAAATATAATACATCCTTGTCTTAATATATCAACATCCAGTCGACAATAATAGTACATCGCTTCTTTAAAAACATACGTTTTCTCTTTTTGTTCATTATACCACGTGTCAAATTTTGAACGCTCTTTAGAACCCTCAGCCGGTAGATCAAAATATTCCAAACCCACCATGGGGCCCACATAGTTTAGATCGTAAAAAAGATAGGGGTGAAATCCCTTACAAATATTTGGAATACCGAGGGCCTCTGGAAATTTTCGTAAAGCCATATTCAAAAATAAAAAACGATCAATCACTTTTAAATTTCGATCCTCTAATTCCATGCACATAATCTTATTTCCGTTCATAATACATTGCAGAACAATTTTTTTTTCAACTAATAATTCGCGAAGTAAAAATACCGTGTCAAAACGCCCCCCATTATGTGCTATCCAAACACTATTCTTGGGTTGTGCATACATGAAATCAATAAATTCCTTAGTAATACAATCATTTTGTTTTTCCAAAACATATTGCCTGTAACCGCAGCAGGGCACACATTCCACCGATATATCACACGTTGAATCAGTAGGATGTGGTAAAAAATGCTCGTAATTTTTTACAAACGGTTTTTGATTACATAAGTGGCACACTTTTTGAATGACTGCATAAAATGGAATCATATAACCCCTCACTATCTTTACGTGTTTCAAAATAAAAAAAATAAAGTGTCGCCAAATTAGGTTTCTTAGCAACTTTACAAACTTTCATAAAACATCTGTGTTTTTTTTCTAATGCCGTCACAATGTTTACAATACATTATATCACAATTGTGGCGTGTTGTTTTTTTCCCAACCACCGTCATACGTGGAACTTTCTTATAGCATGTTTTACAAAAAAACATCTGCTTACACGGTGTCACATGATACCCCTTTTCCTTAGACGTGCATAAAAAAATTCTCTTTGTAAGATGCCGTGTATAACAATCACTATTTTTGAAATTTACACCGCAGTAAGGGCACTGAATAAAAAAACCCTCTTCCTCTGGACATTTTACACTATTACTATAACAATTTAGACATGAAAAAGATGTTCGACATACGTGCGTGTTAATATGTTCCCAGCCTCTTAAATAATGCATACAACTAAAACAAAATGATGCGGCATTTAATTTTGAAAATGTTTGCGGTGAAAGTATCAAATCGTAATGACCGTCATTAAGCCATAAAAATATAACTTTTGAATTTACTTGACAAATAGTATCGGTGTTGTTCATACGCGAATCATATACTATATTATCATTATTGTTTTGGAAAATGCAACTAAATCAATATTTTGTGCTCTTAAAAAACCCCGTAAACATTGGACAATTGATCAATGCGAACACCGCCTCGATTTAAACCACTTTGTTCGTAAACGTTTGTAATTTCGTCATCTGTTCTGTATAAAGCCGTTCAAGTGATGTATTATGATTCAAATTAAGTTTATCGTAGCGTTTGTCTTTATTAAGAAAAGAGAAACCCGTAAATATTGCAAGAGCAAAATAAAATAACAATCGGATTTTGAAATAATTTGAAAAACACTGTTTCGAATTTCACGTCCATGTTTTTGCGACACACAATTTTTTCTACCTCGACCCACATCTGAACCGTTTTTTTCCGACATCTTTGTAAAGACCGCTTTTTTTCTCTTTTTTTGTCCGCGGTGCTTTTGGCACATAATTATTTGGAAATATATACAAACTAATTGTGTCGTATTCCACCCATCATCAATTACTTCTTGTGCATTGCTTTGCATATGTTTTTCAAAAATATCAAAAAACATATCGACATTAAAATCCGAAACATTTAAAACTGCAGTTGAAAACGCTGTACGCGGAGCATTAGAGATATAAAAATGTGCTTTATCCGTTGGCGAACTAGCTATATAATTTGCAGTATTAATTAAATAATTAAATATTTCGCGAAGGCTATCATAAAATTCTGGAAGTGTTGTTACATGGCCAGCGCCTATTCTAACATTATAAACATATTCGTTGTATCCCAAACGACGATGCGTTTGTATTCGATTGACACGAAACGCGTTTCGGGGTATGTGAACATTTTTCCTATTCTGTTCGACAATACGCGCTATTTCATGAATATCTCTATCTTCCACATTGTAATTTCTTTTTTCCCTCGATTGTTTGTCCTAATTCTTTGTAAGTTATTTTCGTGAGCCATTTGGGCGATATCAGCAATACGTTTTGGCATAATTTGAATACGTGTTTTATTGGTGTTGTTAGCTCTTACCATATTTATGATTTCCTGTAAATCTTCATTGTTTAACTTTCAGTATTTTCGTTCTCCATCACCACCGTCGGTATCGCGTTTTCTTTTCGACGCCATTGTATACAACAACAACTTCTATACTCGTCGTCGTCAATATTTTCGCCGTCTATTTTGTCTATACCGCCTTCGCCCATGGTCACATCATTACTCCTGTTTATAAACACACAACGTACTCTAATAAGGGGTTTATCACCACCCGAAAACAATTTAGCCATAACCATACCCATTTCAACTTGCTTACAAGGCACAGCATAAAAATGAACAGTGATGCTTTAACGCACATTACTATATATCTTGAAAATAATCATAGTGAAAATGACAAAGATAAATACATACCGTCATATGAAGTTTCAGAAAATAACTCGGACCAAATGATTTTTTCACAACATATTTTTCCAGAAGCATTTGTACATTGGTGCAAGGATGGCGGGCATATAGTTTACGTGTCACCGTTGGATATACGTACTCGCTTGGCATCACTTAAGCAATCACAAGGTATTACACCATACGTGGAATCTAAAATAAACAGAATCGTTGATCATATTGAAAACAACATCGAGAGATATATTGGCGTGGTAATTGTCTTTTGAAATGTCGAAAAAACAAAAATTTATTTAAAATTTTTTAAACAAAATCTACGAAAAACCGCGAATCAAAAAAATAATCAAAGTATTCGAAAATCCTAGCAATGTGTTGCTAATACTCTAAAGGATAAACAGTGTCGTAAACGTACAGCGCATACTCCAAAATGTTGGATCCATCTTGCCAAACAGAATAATTTACGTATATTAAACCCTCAAAAATTATTGCTGCAGGAAAAGGACTATACACATGGAAGAAAACAATTCCAAAGGGTAAGACAATCGGTAAATACACAGGAAGACAAATAACAAAAAAACAATTGGATCAATGTTACGGAAATAACGTCACGGCAAAATATGCAATTTGCAACCGCCGAGGACAATGTACGGACTCAAACTATACCACGGACGGCGCACAACGATTTGCGAACGATGCTCGTAAAACACAATTTCAAAATAACGCTAAAATTAAAGGTCGCACTATGTTTCGTCTACAAGCTAGTAAAACTATACCCGCAAATCAAGAAATCTTCACCTCGTATGGCCGCGAGTATTGGCAATAAATACTCGCAACGACTTTAATAATTTTATCAGTTCAACATAGCCATGGTGCGCACAAAGCTACCCGATCTTAACGCTACGCCAAATCTTAAAAGAAGAACGGATGGCATACACAAGAAACAATTACGACAAATGTTGTTAAATCCAAAGGCTTTTCTACGTCGATACATTACGGGCAAGAGGAAAGTAGTTAAAAAGAAAGCTGTCAGGCAAATACAAGATACCAATCGTACATGGTTTGGGACACCACAATGAGGCGGAGGACAAAACAATTTTCAAGCTTTGAAAAGAAAGAAATATCTAAATTTACAACGCGGTGGAAATTTACAAACACACCGAAAACCTGTTAATAAATTACCAACAGTCTATCAATATTATCAATAAATTTGTAAAAAATTATACCTATCCGCCACCTGTTATTCCAGAATATCCATCGTTATTATCCGTATAAGGCGTGCTTAAATTTCGGACGTTTGTAAATAAAAAATAATAACTTTGACATTATTATTACATAAATGTTGATGGTTTTTTGGGTTTTTTAAGAAACCCCCACAGTTTTAAATTTGGTCCCACGCCACAATAAAAAATTCACTATACACCTCATGAGTGCATAGTGAGTAATGATTTAAAAAATTGTTTATCCCTACATATTATACTTCATCGACGGGTAATCGTTCTAGAGTGTCAGCATACTCGCATATTTCACAACCCGCCTTTAAATGTGCGCAAAGTGTATAATCCTTAATAGCCATAAAATCCTTTATCATCGTTTTATAGGGTTGTATATCATCTTCTAAATCACGATTTCGCCCACCCAATGCAAATTCGCCACTCTTTAATTTCGGATTCGGGAAGATCATGAAGCAAACATAACAACCATATTCGTAAATGCGGTAAAGCCATAGGGAGTTGTACACGTTGTAGAAACGATGTCTGAAATTGCACATTTAACATCGCTGCATGCAATTTTCGTATACTTACGCGATCAACAAATTGAACAATGCCCACGATCTTCACACACAACTTTAGCCCGTATTGTAAATATTTAAAATACACCATCCCCATTTCGTTTAATAGTTTCATCAAACTGTCCCATTTTACATGCTCAAACAATGGTGATACAGACTCAAAATAATACGTACGCGACGACATCTAAAAATAAAACGTATTTTAATTTTCTAGACTTTATTTACTACTTAATATGACACTTACATACCATAACCATATATAGACTAGGCATATTTCATAAAAAAATGGTTCAATAATATCCTTACAAATATTTGTGGTTTTTCGTAATGTTTTTGCCGCGTATTTTAACGGGGCATTATATGCATCCTGTTGCATGATAACAAAATCAGCATCCAAAATATATGAATAACAGGGCACATTACCTGCTAAAAGCTTATCGGCACTAGTGTTTACATTCATAACCTCATCTAGGGTGCCATACTTAACTAAACTATTCAAAATCAATTCAATCAGTACATCCACATACATATTACACTGTCGACACACTAATATATGTCGCATTATTAATTTCAAAAATTTACCCTCATTTTTTTCTTCATTAGGATTAAAATTAAATATTTTCTCATGTACTGACAAAGCATAAATTACCTCACGCTCTTTACCGTAAGGATGCGCAAGCAAACATGCTCTATTGTACAATTGTTCCCCGTTCACAATTATACCCACGTCCGCTAATACGTCGTGCACCTCACTTGAACATTGACCAATACCGATGTGGAAATAATTTTTAAAAGGAACATAGCATTTATCCACCATGGCATATTCCGATTTAATGCTGATATTCTCGCGTCGAGCAACCATTACGGTCCCACGCACCAAAATCTGTCTGCAACAAAATGTTGTCGCCGCCAAATACATACTCCACGAGTCGTTTTCATATCGTACATAGACATAGTGCATCCATTCAGCAGGAATAATGTAGAATGTTTTATCGCTTCGAGACTCTTCATCATCTTCATCATCGTGGGCTTGATAACTAGTAGTCAGTCCAACCAAACAATACGAGGGCGTATTTTTATCGTAAAGCATCAAATCGCGTGTTCCACTAAGATCCCCCTTTAACCACATTAACAATTTGTCCTGAACGACCTTGCCTTCCTCTAATTCATAAATATAGGCGCTACGGTAATTTCGAACACGAATTTCTCGCGTACCCAAATCTCTCGGTTTCTTATGATACAAATAGCTACATGTTGAATATAACGACCATAACACGGGATCAAAATAGTTATTTTCAAGTAGTTCACTTAATGCCTGTAATGCTAATGGAACATCGCAATAACTCGTAGTTTATCAAGAAATTGTGAAAATAATTTCACTTTGTGTCCACTACAATGATATTTATCCTTTGCAATATGATAGCCGCAATCTTCATGTTTGATGTCATATTTCGGCAATAAGCATTCGTATTTCGGACACCCCATAATTTCAATATTAATACACGGTACACCCAACATATTCAACAAATTACGCTCGATATCGCCGCCCTTGTAACCCACCAAATCGGCACTTTCAAATATTTTACGCAATATAGCAATCATTTCACAATATAAATAAAAATTATCATCAACACGCCGTCTTTCAACGGGTAAGCCGTGTATTACCCTTATTTGGTAGCGCACCCCGCGATGATTCTCATCAAACAATGTGACATTTGGAATGTAAATCTGATAGGTTGTGACAATATTTGTTGATCTGCACAATACAGAAACTTCGCGTAAAATTTTTTTTCCAGTACGTGTAAGCATCGCAATCTATGATGTGTGTGATATGCAATTCTAGAGTATTACAAGCATTACGAACATTTCGTAATACTTTCTGGTTTATTTCACAATGTCGAAGTTGAAAAAATGCATCCATCTCAACACAATCAATACAACAGAATAAAAAAATTTAATACTATTCCCACTTTTCACGATTAGTACAACTACATATAGTTGAGTTTTTACAACCGCTACACAATAAACTCATCTGCACTATTACACGTTTCATTCGTTGTAAATAAATCATTATTTTATAAATTAAAAGCGGTGAAACTAATACTTTATGATGCGCTTCAATCAACAATACAACCCTTTCAACAGCACGGTCATCAATGTCTTTAGCTACGTACACATTATCATAAATAATATACCTTAATATATTTCGACATACGTTGCTAAACCCTAAAAAAATTGTCACACCGTGTCTTTATGAAAAATCGTAATAGCTATTTCTGATCCGTACGTAACCACGTTATTCAACTGCTCGTCATCTCTCAGGCTAAACAGCCAGGAAATTTTATTGTGATCCCACTAAAAAAATAATTAAAAAAACATACATACATACATGTTAGCCATATTCACTCTTCTTCTATAACACATATGTCCAATGTTGATCCTTAGTTTCATTGTGGGGTTCAAATTCATTGAGGGGTATCAAATTTCACAGAGGGGTTTAAGCAACGGGTTGTTATGCTTTTTACGTTGGCGTGAATATGGCTGAAAAGGTAAATGAATAAAATGTATGCGAATAGTTAAATACAAATTTTTAAATATTTTTTTATTTTTTTAGTGGGAACACAATAGAATTTATGAAATGTTTAACATGAGAATCGACAAGAAGATGTATCCACCCGTTCTACAGCACGATTACGATAACATTACGGATTTTTCACAAAGACACCATGTATTCTAACGTCTCGAGTTATATGTATATGGAAACAGATCATTTCAATCCGCTTAGTACATTGGGAACGATTAAAAAAATAGAAGTAAATCGTGAAGATGTTGTGAGCTATAAATTAAATAATCTTTCATAAATAGTAATTTATTTTATTGCGGCAGTAGATATGTCTATGATACACATTTGATGATGCGTGTAATACACTATGTAACCGGATATTTTCATACTTGTGAATATTCGATAGAACATATTGAGAAATTACAACAATTGATTCTAAATGACACGACTCTTCTGGATGACTGTGGTATAGTATTGTATGGCATATTACTTTCAACGTATGTTATAGAAAAAATAAATTCTTATTATTAACGCGTCTTACCTTTTCATTCATAGTACGTACCACTAGTATACATCGAATTCACGTCATCTGCTTCACAGCAATCCTCCAGGTTATTATCAATAAAAAAAATAACAATTCCAGAGTTTTCTTCGCACCAAACAATATATAAAACGCAAATATAACGCAAATAACAGCTGTCACGCACTGCCAAATCATCTAGAAAAAATACAATTAAAATTCCATTATGTTCAATGTCAATGTCACATTCCACAGCAAAACAATTAAAATTCCATTATGTTCAATGTCAATGTCACATTCCACATCCATATAAGGATAACAACGCCACTACAGTGGTAATAACGCCACAAACTATATTATTACTAACTCCATATTAGGGCAATTACGCGTCACAAACAAAAAAATACTAGTAAACTGCACAGATGCAATTACATATTATTTCACAGACAAGCTTTGAGATGGAAACAGCAGAATTTTTACAGTTCGTAAATTACATGGGTGTGGAATTAACCACGACCAATATGACGATATTTTCGGATTTGTACGTTAATTTCACACTATTTCAGCCACAATATCCTTGTAACAATTTCGCTGAGAAATTCATACTGTGGAAACGCTTTTATGACGAGGCTAAAGCAACCGAACAACAAATCCTCCATACGGACCTCTTCAACCCACCACTAAAAGATCCTCGACAATTAAAACACATACCCACACAACTACCCGAAGCATTGGCAGATATAAATCAAGATAATCTATTTCAAAATTTCACATTGGAAAATGAAATCGCTACTAAACCTGAAACAAAATCGCGCAGACGAAACATTTGGTCGTGACGAACAAACCCCAGCAGCAACAACAACAACTCCTATCGCCCCGGTAGCGCCACTCAAAAATACAATGTCTGATTATACCCACCGGGAATATCGAAATACTCGAAACGAATATACAATCTTCAAATCAGCTAAATCTCCCGAGCAAAGCCACAACGAATGAGGTTACATCGAATGATATGGGCGCCTATAACCCCAGTCGTGGCAAGAATATCCAACAAATGAAAGCCGCCTACGAAAACGAACCATCGCCACCTAAACCAAAACCCCGAAAACGAGATTCGGCAATGCTTCGCGATGCAAACAGTGTCGAGAAAACGGAACTAGATTCGGGAACCGACGATGATTCACAACTATCAATTCGTGAAGTACAACTATTAAGCGGCAACGGAGCACTTCGAAAGAAATTTAAACTACTAACAAAACACGAAAAAGATATCAAATGCTTTCAAATAACACACTATGCGGCGCTAGAATACATAGCAGAAAACAAGAAGAAAGCATTCGAAATTATTAAAGAACAAAGACAAAACCTGAAAAAACTGAACTACCTAGAACAAAACACTCTTGCTAATATAAAGGATATTCAATTATACTAGACACAATGTAAATATATATACTTATTAATGTAAATAAACATTAAATAATAAACATTTGTGAATTTAATGTCTTGGAAAAAATGAATTTCACCCCCAAATATCCCCGAATACTCCGCGCGCCACCCCACTATCCCTCACTATCCCTCACATGCGCAACCCGATACCGGATGTGCGTCGTCACACCTGTCAATCACGCCGTGTCACGTGATACCATAAAACATAAAAACACTGCCAAATTCAAAAATCATCACTTCGATCGACCAAGGCTTTGGGGTCACATCTCTCGCTCTTCACACACAGAAGTTGTGCAATCGTGCGGCCGAGTGAACCACATTCTGGGGACTGGGGAGACACCCAATAGTACCCCCCGTCCGTGGAGCTCAATCCCAACACTTTTTTTGCTGAATCGACACTTTTCGTAATACTATCTTATAGTAAAAAAAAATTCCCACACCCCCACTAAAAAATCGAGTACTTTCGACAATGTACTACTAATACATGATAGTTGTATTAACATTGAACTTCTTTCTGTTTGAACCCAAATTTGTACTTGTTCTGTGTTTGACAAGGCTGTCAAGCTCGCGACGAGTGGCTTTTATACCTCAGTCAGGCATGACTACAGATTTAGCATGTCAAATGTCTTCTTGTTTGTGTCAAGATTATAATCTATTGCTGTTCAAACGAGATATTCTATACACTGGAAACGTAGAGTACATTTTACTTTGTCTTTGTCTCAAGCAAAAAAAAGTATAAAGATTAAACAGTTAATCGGCATTCAAAAATATACAACAACCACGAACATCTCGTAATATTTCTTCGGTAAATCTTCAAGTTTCAATGGAAATCTGGCGCATGCGCAACAAATTTCCCAGCTGTTTATTTTTTAAGGAAATTTTAATCCAGATCAGGAAAAATAAGGATTTTTTAATTTTTGAAAGTGGAAGCACTGGTCTCGCATGTTGTTTTTGAGTTTTGACAAGAAATATGGAGATTTCTGGAGAAGCAGAGGAATTTATAAAAAATGCATCGCCTTAACTTAGTTAAATATGTGCATCTGGTTATTATGTAAATGTGACTGTTCTATTTTAGTTTGGAATAATAACATATTTTAAACAGAGGTCACTTAGGGTCATTGGCCCTAAATATTGTTTTCCATTTGATGCGTTTGGGGTTCATGTTTAATGACATGGGGGCGGGGGGTGGGGTGGAGGAGGGGGGTTGGGGTGACCATTAAAAATATTTGAGGAATAGTTTTAATTTATTATAAATGTTTATATCATTTTGTGCTACACTACTATTGAAAAATTATTTAGTGTATAACATGCATGAAGAGTGTGCAATTTTGGGACTTTCTCAATAATAATAATTTATTTTATCTATTATTTATGTAGGTTTTCGTGAAGATCAATGAAAGTGGGATTGCCGGTTCATATGTTACAGAAATACAGACAGAGCCTGATGCAAGTTTACATATTCTCAATATTCAAGCAGAGTTTCCAGAGACAACTGGATTACGTTATCGATCAGAAACAAACACATGGCGGGCTGTCAGAAGACTAGACAATACGTTTTTTGCTCCAAATGGTGGGTGGGTAGATAAAATATATGCTGTCGTAAAACCTATTGCAGGTAAAATCTGTTTAAGCCACAAAGTATTTGGTAGATGATGATACTGTAGCTTTTGAATTTTGCAAGAAATTTTTGTAGCAGCATAAACAATCTATTGTCTTTTTTGTAAATTAATATTTCATTTAATTAACTATATAATTTGTCCACAATCTATCACAAAATTATTACTGAAATACCATAACATTTAAGTTTTAAAAGGAGAAAGAAATTGGATTGCTAGGCCTATTACTATTAATTTGGGGATAACTTCCATGGAAGATGGCATCTCTTGCATATTTTTACTGTGTGGGTCCTTATATGTACATACCATTGCACACATAAGAACATATAAACATGCATTTTAAACATGTTATTGACTAATAATGCGGAATGTTTTATTAATATTATAGTTAATCTTGCACCCAATGAAAAACATGGACATGACAAACCTGAAGTTTTAAAGTCATCTAAAGTCATATCTAAATCATCTCAGCAAACCATATCATCTGACTTCACTCTTGGGCCACCAAGTGAGGTAATTCAATATTATGTATAGTATGTTTTATTTATTGTCCAATGTATATGTATGAACTGTATAATTATGATAATTTACAGTACCTGCATGTCCATATTGAAGTAGTGACTGCCCCTTACAGAGCCACCTGAAAGGCAACTTTTATAATTGTAAAAATCAAGCAATTATGCTCCTTTGATTCAATTAGAACCCTGTCACACTTGAAAGCTTGTGTATTTCTAAATATTGTTCTGTTTTGTTTTTGTATTTCTATTCAATTTCTGGAAAGCTGCTATACCAAAATAAATTATGTGGCCACAACAAGATGTTAATATCATAAATAAATTCAGATCTTACAAGATTTTATAGAGATAAACATCAGGTTAAACCACATGATACGTTGGGATTTACAGTTTTGTTTTGTATCATCATGATCATCATATTGTGACTGCATAGGTTTTTTGGCATTTTCCCATTCCTGTCAAACCTTGAATAAGTGATTTTCACTAAATGTTTTGCTACATAAGGGAGTGGTCATTATTTATGGGGAGGGGGGGTTGGGAAATGGGGAAAATAAGGATTGAAAACTTTTTTGACCCCCCTCCAGACTGAAGGCAAACTTTTTGTGCCTCCCCCCGCAAAAAAGTATAAACTTTTCTGCCTCCCCCGTGTGGATTGAAAAATTAACAGCAATGAAGCAGGTGTGTGTTGCAGCTAAAGTTAGATATTAGGACAATCTGTTTAATCTAGCTCATGATGTTTTACCCTGGTGAATATGATTCAACCATATATGATTAAAAAATATATATTATGTGTTACTACTTTGCAATGCAACATTTGTCCTACCATAACCCTAACCCATGACCTGTCTTCATACAGCAAAATGATTTGAACACAGGGTTTTTTTAAGAACTTGTCTGGGGGGGTGGGCATCTACAAAAAGGGACCATACTATATTGAGTGTGGAGAGATGACAGATGGTTGTTGGTGACAAAACGTTTGGTGTGGTATCATATGTACTAGTAGGGGGTCTGTATTTTTTGTATTTTTCCACCCCTAGAACTGAAATGTGAGCATTTTCTGAAACAGATTTTTGGATATACAGCGTTACATTGTGTGTTGATAGACCGATTCTGATCAGTTAAGTGTACTTGCATGGTATGTTTATGTAAATACCACAACTTGGTCACTCAGGGGGTAGAAAGCTTGTTAAACTTAGTGGGCCCGACTCCCATGATCCCGAGGCGCTACCATGGTTGGTGCCGAGCAGGGAAATTTTGAACATTTTGAGTCTCTAGATCGTTGGAAATAGCATTTTCAGAGTCTTTAAGTTCAAAAACTTTTATGACCCCCCTTTCTCTGTGTTAAAACTTTTTTGACCCCCCTATTTATAAGGGTAAAACTTTGTTTGCCCCCCCTCCCATTTCCCAACCCCCCCTCCCCATAAATAATGACCACTCCCTTTAAAGGGTAAACCATAAAATTGCATGTAGTCCATGACATTTTAAAAGTTGTAACTGTTGTAAATGTTTCTGTACTAATTCTATGAATTTATTTAATTGTATTTTGAATTTTTACATAGGAAATTTACAAAGAACCAGAGAGAATTATATCTGAGGCCAACATATATTCTGGAAAAACGTTGACAAAATATCAAATGGCAATTAATGCTGCATGCCAAGTTTTGGGGAGGGAAGATCCAATGTTACTTGTACACAGAGGTACCTTTATTGACATTTCTTTGTACCTTTATTGACATTTCTTTATTGACATTTCTTTGTGTCAACCTATGTTTTTGTCAACATTGTTATGCATATTCATGGTCAAGGAATCTGTTCAAGATGATCTGTACACTAAGTCTATGTAGTTAAGACATCTACTCCAGCATTTAAACTTTGATGATTTGTAGTTTTATGGGTGTTTTGTTTTAGATGAATTGCTGAAAATGGCAAGAGAAAAGGTTAAGGCAGATGGCTACGAGCACAAGAAGGGTTACTCTAGATCAGTGTCTTCAAGCAGTAGCAGTGGAGGTGATGACCATGCTGGTAAAAAGGATCTCGACAAGAGTGCAAAGAGAAAACATATGGATGGTGAAGAGCGGAAAAAGGCCATGACCAATATAAAAGCGCTAGTCGAGTCAACAAATGATCATATCCATATAAAGCAACAACGTATACAAAAACTTAAGACGTGTAATGATTTCAAGCAATGTGATGTAGTCAGTAATGAAACAACACAATTACTGAAGCAGAAATACGAATACGAGTGCCAACTTGCTTCTCTGAAGAGAAAAGAGGCCAAATCTCAATGGTACAAGAAAAAAGTTAAAAGGAAACCAGCGCAGAATTCAAGTGAATCTCACACTGCTCGATCACTGAGTATAGCTGAAATGCTAAGCAAAGCTGATACTACCACCATGTCAACCAGTAATACCAATGCCTCACCTGCTAGCGCAGCAATACAGCGATCAGTCAATGATACCAATGCCTCAACAAAGTACAGTGATGAGCCATCCATCAGTATAATTGATGTACCAGATGAAGATCCTGCTTCAGCACAACATTCAGATGCGTCAGCAGATACCCTTTTTTGAACCGCCCCTCTCACTTTGCTGAGGTGGGAGGGCTGGAAGCTATTGCTTGTTATGATTTACAAGAGAAAAGGAATTTAGCAGATTATTTAAAAATTAAGGATAATGTTTACGTTTCAGTTTATGAGGGATTTTCACTAAAACAATATACAGATATTAGACAGTTCATTTGTAAACAGAGACACCCTCAGCCCTGCAAAAACTGTGAAGGATTGGTTAACATTGAGAATGTAATACTCGATCAAGGCTTCCTAAAATTGAAAACTGCAATGACAATATCTAGTCCACATGTCCGTCATTATAAAGCTTCATTAGCTAGACGTAAACTTCTTCAAATGCCATTGGCATGTATAGGAGTTGGTAGGACGGAACAGGGGACTTACTGCTTGTATCTTGTTGAAAAGCAAAACCTAGTTGATTATTCCATTTTCCAAACACTTTTAGAAAAAGCTACTTTAAAGCCAGGGGTAAAAGAGATGAGCATATCAAAAGAAGAGATGAGTAACATTTTTTACTTTGCTGAAACAGAATCGCAAAGGGAACTGTTGAAGTATGTTGTTGTTAAGGCTACTGGACTTTCCAATACGAAGGCAAAATCTTTTTATGGACTCAGTAATGTAAAAGAGAGAAAAGAAAAAGTTGAAAATGCTCTGGAAAAAGCAATTTCAATAAGACAGTCTATTGAAAAGATAAGCTCGTCTTAAGACAGAGCCCTACTTTCCTCTTTTGACATTGATTGTGCTAGTGATTGCAGCACCAGTAGTGAAAGTGAAAGCGATAGTGACAATGACAGTGCCATTCAGGAAGAACCAAGTCAATCTAGTCCAGATAAGATAACAGAACCTGTTGTGACAGATGATGGGATTAATCCTGATTTCCTTACACTGAATGCTAAGAATAATCACATGTTAGATGTTAATCAAGTCCTATGTATTCTTAAGGAGTGTACTTTTAACTGGTTTGAGCTGGTTAGCCAGCTTGAATCAAGGTTAAATGTTTCTGACGATTTGGTTAGCAATGTTCTTGACGAACTTGGAAATCAGCTTACATCTAATAATTTGGGATTAAGTGAGATGGACCAAAAGATTGCAGAACAATCATGGCAAGCATATTCACTCATGAAAACGTATAGTGAGAGTTCTTGTAGTGATGATTCAATTGTGTCGGATTCTGATGAGAGCGAGAACGAAATGTGGCAAAAAGGAATAGATGATGTTCTGAGTGCTGATGGTAAAGAAATGATAAAGAAGCGTAAAGAGGCATTAAAGCAAAAAGCTGTACGTGAGACAAAACGAAGGATTATGGAGGAAAGGTTTCTTAAAAGAAGGAGGAGCAAAAAAGTATTGCGAATATTGACCCAGTGTCCGGATATTGGGTAAAGAAATAGAACAATTTGTTCAAGATTCAGGTGCGGGTGCTGATGCATGGAGGCGCACTGGTGTGCTTACTTTTGATGGCAACCGAAAGTTAAAAAAGAAGCCTACATTCAAGCGCATTCAACAACACCTTCAGGAAAAGTGCAATATGCATATCAGCTATGGTAGTGTTGTTCAACTTTGCATCGCAAGGAATAAGAGACGGAGATCTGCTGCACGATACAAAGGTGTAGCAAAGGTTCTACAAAAAAGATCCCGGAAAGGATTTAACTCATTAACTGGCAATGCGCCCGGATGCGCCCTGAGATTGGCAAGTGGGTAACTGGCAATGTGCCCGCATACGCCCTCAAATGACACCTCAACTTGCGGGCATGATATTTGAAGCACGTGTTTATCGGGTTGCCTAGCAACGGATACGAAAATAGAACGCGAAATTCGAGCTTTTCAACGGTGTATCATGCAAGAAAATCGGCCAAAAACTCGCAAAGTTTTTCAAGTTTAAAACCTTAGTTTTTCAAAAATAATGAATAATGGCGATATTGTTGCAAAGAAGGATTTCACAGCAAGTTTTAAAAGAGAAAAAAGAAGACGTTTTTGAATGATTTACAACGAAAATTTGGCATGAAAGGAAAGCGAATGTATTGACGTTTTGGGGCCAAGTTCTTCTGTGAACCATGCGCAAGATTTTCAGCCAAAAAGATGAGGATTTCTCCAAACTTTATTAAAAATAGAAGTCGGAAATCACAAGAAAGATGAACACGGAACTCAAGTGAGCAGATACGATCTTTT